AGAGGAAGAGTTGGAAAAATCCGTAATGAAATATCTTGCCATTACTAGCCAATTGCTAATCTGCAGTTAATGCAAGCACATCTAAACTTGAATTAATTTTCTAAACAGCTCTGGACTTGATTAAGAATGTGCAAGTGCAAGCAATCATAGGACCAAGAAATTCAATGCAAGCAAACTTTATGATAGCCCTAGGAAACAAATCTCAAGTGCCCATCATCTCTTTCTCCGCGACGAGTCCTTTCCTAATTTCCTCAATGAGAAGTCCGTACTTTTTTCGAGCAACCCACAATGACTCATCTCAAGTCAAAGCCATTAGTGCCATTGTCCAAACCTTTCGATGGAGAGAAGTAGTGCCCATATATGTAGACAATGAGTTTGGAGAAGGGGTTATACCTTACTTATCCGATGCTTTAGAAGAGAGGTTAATGCTCGGATTCCTTACCGAAGCGTTATCTCTCCTAGAGCCACTGATGAGGAAATTGAAAGAGAGCTATTTAAGTTAATGTCAATGCATAGTAGAGTGTTCATTGTTCATATGACCCCAGATCTTGGGTCTCGGCTTTTTGACAAAGCAACAGAGATTGGAATGATGAGTGAAGGATATGTTTGGATAATAACTGATGGGATGACCAATGTTTGGAGTTTGATTCATCATTCTGATCATATGGATTCCATGCAGGGTGTGTTGGGTGTAAGGAGTTATGTTCCGAAGTCAAAAGAGTTGGAGAATTTTAAGGTAAGATGGAAAAGCAAATTTGTGCAAAATAATCCTAGTATGATAAATGCTGAACTAGACATTTTTGGATTATGGGCTTATGATGCTACATTAGCACTAGCCATGGCAGTGGAAGAGGCACTAGGCATCGCAAAATTCAACTTTGATGCATCAAATCTTGAATCTTTTGGCTGGGTTTCTCAAAATGGTCCCAAACTCATTGAAGCTTTGTCAAGTATGAGATTTAAAGGCATTAGTGGAGAATTTGGGTTTGTCAATGGGCAACTAGAGCCCTCAGTTATCCAGATTTTTAATGTAAATGGAAATGGTGAAAAGGGGATTGGGTTTTGGACGTCAAAGGATGGACTAGTTAAAAGACTGGACTCCACTTCTAATGCCAATCTTGGAACCATTAGATGGCCGGGGGATTCATATTCCATTCCTAGAGGCTGGGAAATTCCGATAAAGGGGAGGAAGTTGAAGATTGGAGTGCCAATGAGAAAGGGATTTGATGAATTTGTCAAGGTAACATGGGATCAGAAGACTAATTCAACTACCTTCACTGGAAGTTGCATAGATATCTTCAATGATGCCATGAAGGTAATGCCATACCCCGTCCCTTACCA